GAAATCTTCATGAATGGTCTTCATAATCAATTTCCTTGTCCACGTCGAAAAGATGTTGCTGCTTGGTTAGGAACAGGGCTCCTAGATTTTGACTGTTTTGTTCATGAGTTTTGGAATTGGAAATGACAATGATTCAAGGAAATCCACCTCCATAGTAAGAGTAAGACTAACGAGATACTTAAGTTTTGCTTAGCGCTTTCTGTGTTGTACATGATAAATTCTGAATATCTAGACGAGGCTGTAGAATAGGTCAAATTTTGGTTAATGACATTTGTAGCGCACGTAGTGTAATGAAAATGCAAAGTAAATATCAACTTTATACACTTATACTACTAAGTGCAGTAGAAGACACGATTAAGTCTTGCGAGCTCTGTACCCCAAATCTCTAAAGCAATGCCCGAGCATTTCCTACGTGCCTAGTTGGACGCTTCTTGGCCGGATTGGGCGAAATGAAGTTGGACTCCGTCTATCTAATGCACCAGTCACAGTTTGAATGAGAAAATGTTCACGCATTTTTTTTTTTACAAACAGAGGCGTTCCCCTACCTCTTTCCCACAAGCGGTTTTTTAAAGCGTTGTACTTGCTGGGTGAATAATCGCATAAGCGAAACCATCTGATAAGCGTGCTTCATGGCGTAAAGGACGAGATGTATTGGAAACATTCCAGTGAACCATAGCTTTATGTTTTCTCATTTTCAGTTAGTCATTTATACTTAAAAACATCTTGCGTATGCGCTATTCTCCAAGAAAACATGATTTCACTTCTTTTCATAGACCCTGATTTGCGTTGGCATTCATGCTTAACAGTAAACTAATTTTTTCCTTGTTAGGAAGTTTGTATATCACATTGTTCCATTTAAATATAATCGGTGAGATTTATGGTGCTATGCAATTTGCGGGTCTACTATCGTAGACCGCACATGTTTATCATAGCTGGCATTCGAAATGTCTCTGGTATCTTAACTTCTAGGTTATATTCTCCGGAAAAGACGTATCTGCTGACGTTCCTCTTCCTGAGGCTTGGAAATCTGACGAATTGGCCGGGAACGTCGACCCAGACACCGTTTTTGCTGGTGACAAGCTTGGAAATTATGAACCGAAGACTCCTGAAGTACCATCTAATCAGCCAGGTTGATATCTCTTGTTTTTTTAATTGTCAAGTGTTCTTTCCAGTATTTTTTGCCATAGAGTAACAGTGTTCTACGTAAAAGTATAAGCAAAAATTTCTAACAACTTCCTACATATCATCGTGAGAATATGTGGGCGATCAAGATTTTTGGTTAAATCCAGTCAACG